CTTTTTAATGATCTGCAAACCAGTTTATCTATGCATCAACCCTCGTCAGGCTACCTCTCAGCCTAGAGTTTTAATTAAATTTAATTAAAATAAATTTTTTACATATGAACTGTAAGRTTTGATTTGCCTTTATGCAGCACAGTGGGAGAGCAGGTGAGCATCCAAACTCAGTTCAGCTTTTAGCTCCACAAATCAAGTCTTGATATTTTGCAGTTTATATAAAAGCACAGATTCTCTCAGACCCCCGCTACGCGCACGCACACACACACACACACACACACACATTAGTGTGTTTTATCTTAGTGAGACACACTGAAACTGTAGAGTTGAAGCGTTTCTTCCAAACTGCTCCCACACATCTGAACACTTGCAGGTTTAATTTGTGCTTTTTTTTWAAGAGCGATTGTAATTTATGTGTTGATTGAATGTGTTCGGTTTTTTGTCCTCACGAGGAGYTCTTCAGTATCCTCTAGACTGCGACACACCAACTCACCTCAGGGAGAAATCGATGACCTGTACGCCCACCCAAGGATACGTGTTCAGCTCCTCCTTCTTCTTCTTCTTCACCCAGTCCTGTCTGGTTTGTGTTTCATGGACTCTAGAGTGATTTAAGGGCTTCCCCGTGTCTCTGTACTGTTATCTCTGCCCTGTTTCTACACAGACACACGTCAGCTCACACTCCACTCCTCTCTGTCTGTCCGTGTGTTTGTAAAAAGGCAAAAAAAAAATAAATAAAATGAAAATAAAATAAAATCAAAGAATGTTTTCAGCAAACACTTTTTTTGTAACAACTTTAAACAATAAAGTGTAAAAGTGACACAATTTGGTTGCGCTTTGATTTTTGTAATGAACTTTTTACAGATGTTGAGGTAGTAGCTGCGGCTCATCCCCAGCACCTCCTCTGAGTGCTAACAGATCAGACTTCAGCATCACTATGAGCTGCTGTCTGAACTGTTCCCACGGTTTACTTTAATGGTTTAAGATTCATTATTTAGAGTTAAAGACAAACAAACAAAAAACAAAACATCTGAATGAGTTTGCGGACTCTCAGCTCCTACCACTCCAGTTTTGAGTTGAAACAGACCGCCACAGCTCGAGTTCGCTAAAGGCTGATTAGCTGTGGCGGCCATCTTTGAATCAAGTTATTCTCAAAATGCTTGGATTTCTTTGAGTTTCACTAAAGTTTAACCAACTTTTCAGGAGATATTTTGCTAACAGATATTGTTACAGTTACATGATCACCTGCGTTTCATGGCAAGGGGTAATAAAAAGGCAGACGAGCAGAGAAACGCTAAAACTTATTGGGTCTTTTTTTTGAAAATTTTAATGTGAACAGTTTTCTTTTTTTCCTCTTTATTTTAAAAACCTTTTTGGAACCCTACAAACATCTAACATCCATTTTTTGATTGGTCATTTATTGATCAGCCAATCAGCTTAAAGAGTAACTTACCCCAAAATTAACTTTTTTAGCTGATAAACTGTCTAGAATGTGTCTAAAATGTTATATAGTACTGTTTCTGTGCTAATTTTGATGTTTTTGTGCGCATTTGTCCAAATCTGTAACATTTGGTCAAAAAACATCTTTTTGCTGCTCATATGCAGTAGGTAGAGCAGTGACAGTTTCGTCACAGCGGCTGTGTTCTGGTATAAAAGCCTCTCTCTAAGACACGCCCCTGCAGCAGTCAGAGGG